ATCTACCTCTCTGCGATGTATGTGTGTATGTGTGTGTGTGTGTGTGTGTGTGTGTGTGTGTGTGTGTGTGTGTGTGTGTGTGTGTGTGTGTGTGTGTGTGTGTGTGTGTGTGTGTGTGTGTGCGTGTGCGTGCGTGCGTGCGTGCGTGCGTGCGTGCGGCCGTATATAAACCTCATAACTTATGAACGGCTTGACCGATATCATCGCGATTGGCAACATTCAAAATGGCTTAACCAAACTTGGATTTTGACTACAATTTGGACCGATTCAGACCGGTAGATTTTGAGAAATCGCAAAAAAACTACAAAAAAAAATTTTTTCAATAGTGGTTTTTTGGAATAACTTTTAAACGGCTTTATCAATCAATTCCAAAAACTAATCAGCTCTTAACATAAAAAAACCACGTCGATCGCCGCTAGTCCGGTCAAAATCGGTTGATTCGTTCGTGAGTAATCGTTGACGAAAGAAAACCGAAAAGTGTTTTTTTGGAATTACTTCAAAGTTTTCCACTCTGTCAGTAAAAACTTGAAAATTTTTCCTGAAGCTTAAAAAACTCCGTCAAATGCCACCAACCGCGTGAAAATCGGTTCATTCATTCAAAAGTTATTGCGATTTGAAAATTAAAAAAATAGTGTTTTATCAAACTTTTGAGCTCCAAGAGCTCAAAAGCATACAAAATCTATTTTTTTGAGCTTGGAGAGCTCAAAATAATATGCAAATTGTACTTATTAGCTCGAAGAGCTCTAAAACGTCATAAGTGCAATTTCAAGTGTTTAGGTATAGACTTGGCGGGAAGTTACAGGGATGGCCTTCACCGTTTTCCTAATTTTTTTTTTTTTAATTTCTGTAGCTCAGTGGTATTTTATGGTATAATCTTATCCAAAAACAGAATTAAATGCTCCACAAAAGTGTCCATTGTCGTGAAGTTGTAACTCATACTGTTGGAGTAGTACGGACCGCTAAACCGAATTTTTTCATCGGATTCTTGTTTTTTCTTTCAGTATCTCATAAACAACAAGACCTACAGAAAAAATGTGAATGATAATTTTATAGGAAATTCAATTTTCTACGAAAAAAGGTTGTCACATGAATTTTATTCCCGTGTGCGTCCCTCCCTGTGCCTAGTGTTGGCAACAAATCCACACTTGGTGTTTCTCTAAAATTTGACTATTTTGTACACGGAAAAAAAATCCTATGAAAAATTACATTGGTAACATCGTAATCCAGGACTAGACTCTCAGTATGTTGATTTTTACGATGCTGCCGTCTACAGAATACAATTTGAATTATTGAAAATTACTATGTTATTTAGTAAATTTTTTTTCCGTAGGAGCAAGTGAATAAGGACGCATACTATATGTTTTAATAAAAGAGAGACAGAGTCTAGTAGTTTGCGATGCCACCACCAAAAGATGACCTACTACTGTATGGAGGGTCTTATTATGTGACTGAACAGAAAGTATAGGTATTCCTTCTTATGGCGTAAGGGGATAAGCCTTGGGCCTGTGGCGGAGAAAATACCGGGTTCGATTCCTCGGTGACACGGAATTATTTTTTCGGTGAACTAAACTTCTTTTTCATTTGAGTGATAGAAATTTACGATGTTGCAACGTATAAATTACAATGTTAGAGTTCTGGTCCGGCACTACAATGTTCTATACTAAAAATTACTATGTTTCCATCATAATTTTTCGTACAATTTTCTTTCCGTGTATGAATTTGATAAATTCATTAATTTATTATTATTTATATTTAAGAATGATCATATTATTATCATTAGTTCATAAGTCATTAAGTTGATTTTTATTTCAGATAGTAATATTGAACTGTTATAATTTTGTTTGATTATATTGTATTTTTATACATCGCCGTAGGTCTTTGTCACATTGTATATAATCATATTATAAGCTTGTTTCAGCATTTAAAGCCAAGGTGCAACGATGGGTATCGGGACAGGTAATAAGGAAAATGCAAAAGCATAATATTGATAATTGGCAATAGATCATAGCCCCTTGCTCGCTCGGGTGATTCCCTGAAGCATCGATTGCGAGCACAGGGACTAGTAATTTCGGTAAACGGTTTGAGAGGCCCTCGTGATCGGACACGAGGCCTCGTAGTTTTTCGTGAAAAATAAATCGACAGACACGCGGGAGTCCGCATAGTGTAAGGAGGGTGGATCTAGCGCCTTGGTTCGAGTCCCTTTTTTTTCCTGGTGAGTACTCACAAGTTGAGCTAAATTAATATCCACACGTCGCGTTGTCTCCCGTTGATCCCGTCGTTAGTAAGGGATATCGTAGTGAAATACCTGTCCCGAAAGTCACGCGTGGGTCCTCGAGTCGGCCAGTATTATTTTTATTTTCTCATTTATTCATTATACGCCAAGTGGCAATATACATAAAAGATATAAAAGATTTAATATTAAATTTATCAGATAAATTTAATCAAATAATATTTGGTTACATGATGGTGAGGGGTACAGATAAAATAACAATTTTGAAAATCTAAAGTAAGCTTGCAAGTACTAGGTGGGGAGAAGGCAGAAATTTAAAAGAAATTGATTATATTTATCTGTGTTCTGGTATGATCAGTAGATGTCTTTTGGTGTTGTTGATGAACGTGCCGTATGAACCTCCGTAGAACTCAATTTCGCCCTGAAGGGAATTTAAATTTATAGTTGTAGTTCGTCGAGATGACCCGACAGAGGAATTCAGGTATATCTCAGTTCAATAATATTTAGATATAATTTCTATTTAATTATAAAAGTCGTCGTAAAAGGATCGAACGGTCTACTCAGAATCTAGATCAATCATTAATAATTATACGCGACATTATTATTATTATTATTATTATTATTATTATTATTATTATTATTATTATTATTATGTTATTAAATGCTCAGGGGGGTTGTCCCCGGAGTCCGACTCTCCGAGGGCCCAGCCTGAGCTCCATCCATTACTGCTGGACCACTCCGCACAACAAGGCGGTTAGTGATCACAGCAGGCCAAAGTCATTTTCCTAAGTAGACGGAGGGAACCTAGTAGCACAGCCTTCTGCATCCTGACTGCCAAGAACTCAGCTTTTGATGAGCAAGCTGGAACTCTGGCAAGTGAGGATACAAAAGACTGTTTCATCCCTCCAAGGACGCCAACAATCAAATTCCGCATTTGAATTTTTTTGTGCATCTCTGTAACCTGGGTAAAGTTTGCCAATTTCAAACAGGAGATTCTGATATATTTGTCTTTTGTGCTCTTCTTTGGCTGTGATGTTGTATTCAGCCGGGGCCGAAAACTCTATGACATAAATGTCACGAGTAGTCTTGTCGAAGAGCACAATATCAGGTTTGTTGTGATCTATCCGCCGGGTTGTTGCAAATGGCATGTTCCAATAGATTTTGCAACTGTCATTCTCAACAACCTGGGGAATATCTCCTGGCAGATAAGGCAGCACTGGTGTCACGTCAATACCGTAGCAATGACGAAGATAATAGTACAGTACTCTCAGGGCAGCATTATGACGCTGGATATATGCACCTCTCGCCAGCACAGGGCATGCTGACAAAAGGTGCATAAGCGTCTCCGGATGTTATTATTATTATTATTATTATTATTATTATTATTATAGTCCCGCTGCGCGAAACGAAGTTGCCGCTTTCCGCCTTCCTCGGGGAAAAAAATAGTATACACTTCTCGGGAAGTAAATAAGAAAGCCTCAGATCACAAGTTTTGTTGACCTCGGCTTCGCCTCGGCCAACAATTACATGTGATCTGAGACATTTCTTACTTAACTTCCCTAGGGGTGTAATATACTATTTCTCCTTTTCTTTCCTAAGACTAGTATATTATCTATTTTCCTTTGAATACCTGCAGATCAGGCCTGGAAATGAAGGGTTTGTTATTTCCTTGTTCAAAAAAAATAACTGGCGTCCAAACGTGCACTAACCCGGCCTGGGTGGCTGCTGCGGTGTTGCTTAGGAGAGTAAAAGCATCTCTTAAGTCTTCTATTTTTTTCTTTATTCATTTTGGGCGACCTGGACAAATTTCTATTTTGCTCGACGTATCCACCGTCGAGTAGTGATGTAAAATAGTAAATTTTTGTTACAAAGTCTTAGCACCAAATCACTAAGATTGATATTTTCTGAGATATTAGTCATTGAAGTTTACGTAGCATTCAATTCTCATTAAATGTCAAATTGAATCTTAGAAAATATGGATTTTTTTATTTTTATGATAATTTTAATTAGTAATTCCTCATTGATCAAGTTGCAAATTTAACGAAAAAATTTATTTAATTATGTTTTTCCAAAAATTTTTTATTTTTAAATAATTTACTAAGATATCAGGTCTATGTAACGTTAAACTAATCTACATGTATGATTAAATTAGATATTTTGGAACATTTTCTCTACGCTGTAAGCTGATTTGGTACATAGTTTATTATAGTTAACTGTTCACAGCTGTGCACACATACAACTGTGGATGTTTAGTGACTAATAAGATGGCGAGGTTGACGTTAGACCACTGCAACTCAACTGTACACTTTTGTTGTTAGTTTGTTACAATTTAGTTGTTGTTACAATTTAGTTGTGAATAGCTCGCTTAAAAGAATTAATTAGTATATCAATTTTGACTAATTTGTTATCGTAACCTGTACTCATGATATATGACAAGAAATATAGTATTAAGTGGACGGAGCCCGGATGCTTGTATTGTGGTATGAATGTTTATTTACATGCAATTATGGTTGAACTGTCTGTAATTATACTACATTTTTTGTTTCTTATCCGAGATTGCCTGATGAAGTGCAAATATAGTGCACGAAACGTTGCAAGAAATAATTAAATTTCCTGGTGTTTTATTTGATGATCCTATAACCTCCAATTGAAAAACTTATCACCTACATAGTTTATGTTGCGAACGGTGATGCTGTCTGTTTGAAAAACTTTTTGTCGTTCATCTTCATTGCTGGTGAAAGCTTCACTGAATCTTCGAGTAAGAGCTACTCCTCGCTCAGCAGTATTATTCACAACTTTCAACTTTTTAAATGGTTCAGAACATTTTTGGTACTCAGATTTTGATTCCCATGTAGGGTAGAATTGTAGGGCCCATTTTTGGTTACGTGAAATTTTAGTTAATATGTAAAAAATTTATCTATTCAAGAAGAATTTTTATTAGAATTTATGAATTAGTACATTTATACGAATTGAATTTATAAACTCTTGCGCTTATAAAAATATTTATACAATAATTTGAAAATAAAGTGGCTAAAAAAGGTACACTGGTCACAAACGGTATTTCTACCCTATATAATTCAGAATTTAAAAATTCATAAGAAAGGTTGAACTGTTTAAATATGAAAACTGAATTTGGAGTCGCAAAATCGCTGGGATTTTCTTCACTGAGTGAAGTAATTGTTTTGTAAGGCACTGAGTATTGTTCATTTGATTTCTTAACAGCTACAATACTTTTAATTTTTTTCGCAATTTTCAATTTTTCTTCTGGTAATACCGTATTATCAAAGAGCATCAAGCAAGCAAGTTGTTCATGCAAAAACCATAGATGTTTAGATAATTTTTTAAGTGCTGCATTAGCAATTTCCAGAAAAAATTTTCGATGTTCGAGAAGATCTTCTTCAAATTGGAAGTCTGAGTTCAGGGCTTTTATCGCGTTTGGAGCAGTGAACGATATTTTCACGTAAAATAATATAATAAAACACAAATTTTACGTAAAGTATCTGTATCTCTCGCTGATACTTAAAGCTGTTGGCAAAATAAATATATTTTCAAACAATAAAGAGTTTCTATAAGCCATTTTGCATGGTGACAAACGCCAGGGGCTTCAAATTGAACTTCATCACCTCCCATACCACCCAAAAATCTTTAGAAAAATATAATTAAAAAAATTTTTTTCGTTAAATTTGCAACTAGATCAATAAGTAATTACTAATTAAAATTATCGTAAAAATAACAAAATCAATATTTTCTAAGAGTTAATTCGACATTTGATAGGAATTAAATGCTACGTAAACTTCAATAACTAATATCTCAGAAAATATCAACCTGAGTGATTTAGTGCTAAGGACCTTTTTTTTTGTAGAAAATTGAATTTCCTGTAAAATTATCCACATTTTTTCAGTAGGTCCTGTTGTTTATGAGATAATGAGAGAAAAACAAGAATCCTATGAAAAACTTCGGTTTAACGGTCCGTACTACCCCAACAGTATGAGTTACGACTTCGCGACAATGGACACTTTTGTAGAGCATTTAATTCTGTTTTTGGACAAGATTATACCATAAAATGTCACTGAGCTAGAGAAATTAAATAAAAATTAGGACGACGCTAGACCCTAAAGGCCATCCCTGCAACTTCCCGCTCATTTTGTACTTAAGCGTTCATAATTAAATATTACGTTTTTGAGTTCTTCGAGCTCAAAAATATGATTTTTGTGTCATTTTGAGCTCTTTGAGCTCAAAACTCTAATAGCAGTTTAATAAGACACAATTTTTTGAATTTTCGAACGGCCATAACTTTTGAATGAATAAACCGATTTTCACGCGATTGGCGACATTCGACGCAGTTTCTAAATCCCCATGAAGAATCTTCAAGTTTAAATCGATCGAGCCAGGAATTTCAGAGTATTTCCGAAAAAACACTTTTTTCGGTTTTCTTTCGACAACGATAACTCACGAACGAATCAACCGATTTTGACCAGACATGCGGCGATCGACGTGGTTTTTTGATCTTAAGAGCTGATTAGATTGTGGAATTGATAGGTATAGCTATTTAAAAGTAATTCCAAAAAAACCACATTTCAAAAATTTTTTTTCGTAGTTTTTTTCGTAGTTTTTTTCGTAGTTTTTTTGAGATTTCTCAAAATCTACTGGTTCGAATCGGTCCATAGTATTCAAAATCTAAGTTTGGTCAAGCCCTTTCAAATGGGGTTAACCGCGATGAAATCGGTCAAGCCGTTTAAAAGTTATGAGGTTTACATACATCCACACACACAGACACTCACACACGCACGCGCATACACACACGCACACACACACACACACACACACACACACACACACACACACACACACACACACACACACACACACACACACACACACACACACACACACACACACACACACACACACACACACACACACACACACGACGACGACGCGATTTACTGCGCATGCAGTTGCGCTGTACTATTGTATACTTGAGTACTTATCTATTAGCACGTTGTCGA